TTATTCATTTTATTAACAAATTCATTTGGATGCAGATGCAAGTTAAAAACAAACAAACGAACATAGTTACATTCAGATGATTCATCAAGATGTATAGACGAAATAGACAAACGAACAACATCCAGATGCTCCATCTGGATAAGGCATCTGGATGGATCATCTGGATGCATCTTTCAGATGTACAAACGAACAGGGCCTTAGCCTTTCGTATATATGTAGGCTTTGTGTGTTACTTGACAGGCCCAAATTTTATTTTCAAATCGAACTCCTTTCATAGCATAAGTCGAGTTCCCTATTCTCATGTGTTCATGTGTTTTGTTATTCGATTTTTCAAATGATTTTGTTGAACAATCGACCCATCTTGCGATCAGGGAAATCTTCTGGCATGTGCAAACAGAACAATAGAAAAACAGGACCGGCTCAACAATTTTTTTTTGGCCCGGAAGTAAAACAAAAATATTAAATTTGTAACATTTATTTTTGTTAAAAATTTGAATATATTTTAATCTTTTTATCATCGAACATAAAATATTATACAATCCCTTTTCAACTAAATTTAATGAATATTTTTAAACTTTGATATAAAAATATAAAAATATAAAAATGTTAGATCCTTTAATTAGTAAGATACGGGGGACATGGGTTTGGCCTAAACAGTCGTACCGTTTTTTCCTCATCTCAGTCGATCCTGTCGCAAAAATTTTTTTTATATAAAAATCTAACATTTTTGTAAGTAAATGTACAAATTAAAAGTTAAAATTTTAATTACTTATAAATTTATAATCTATAATTTCTCAAAAGATTTTCTTTTAGGGAAAACGGCTTTTTGGTACTTATTTTCATTATAAAATTAAATATTTATAGATAAAACTATTAGCATTAACACTATATCATTAAATTTTAAATGTATCATTAATAATTTGCTTATCCAAAAAATATATATATCATTAATAATTTATTTTGAATAGGCATAACAAAATAATTTGAGACGAATTTCATTCTAACTTTAAATTTTTAGTTCTAGGGAAAAAATATTTTAGTAATTTCGACTCATCATATTGAGAAATGGACTAATGTATGTGTGGATCATCTTGGTGGACCGGGAACTGGTTGCCTGGTTGGTTTATTTTCAGAAAAATAACGACTACTGCTACAAACTTGATAAATACAGACTGAATATATGATCTTTTGTTTCAACCTGACATAAGCTGTGGTATGCAAACGAACACCACTTTCCACTATGTTATCTAAAATATAATAAACTTTCTAAAGATAATTAAAATTAAGAAAACACACATAAAATAAGTTATGACATCTATTTAAATAGAATAGATGTATATCATATTTCACACACACATATCTATATCTGAGAAAACTATAAACTACATTGTGGAAGACTAATAAATTAGAAAGGATAGATTAATTTTAGTTTCGTAAATTATGTTTTTCGACTTTGGTAAACCAAGCCATAATACATGTTAAACAAACAAAGAAAAAACGATTGATTATGTAATTTTACATGTTGTCATAATTCTTAAAGAATTAGACATAGAATTATAGATTAAGAATATGGTAACTCTTTTTTGTCAAGTTTCATGAATATGGTAACTTAAAGGGTCCATTGTGTGAATAAAGGAGACGTAAGGAGTCAAAAAACGCAAAATAATAGTACTTATACAGTCAGTACCACCGATCGGCTCATGCACGAGAGAGAGTAAACATCAGTTTAATTTATTGATTTATTTATATTAGTTGCCATCATCATCATCATCATCATCTGATCAGGTTATTTGAGCGTGATAGATATTAAAATGGAGACGCCGAAGCGTACTTGCTGAGAAGTGTTGAATTATAAACTTTGGTTTGGGCTCTCCCAATTGTCCAAGAATTAAAGCAAAAGTCAAGAAGCCCAAGAAGAAGAAGTGTGTAGAAGAAATTATGGATAAGACTAAGAGAATGATCTAGAGATAGCTCAAGTAGTATAAATAGGGATGTTTGGCTCACTTGTAAAAGCATCCCACAACAAGCAAAAGCAATCATAAATAAAGAGTAGTAGTTTTAAGAAAGAGTTCTCTCTAAAAGAGTTATAAAACTCTCTCTAAATATAAAGCTTGAGTAGCAAATCTCTTTTCTAAATACGGAGGCTAACTTTTATAGTAGCAGTCCAATTTCCAACTTATCCGCTACAAGAAACNCAACAAGCAAAAGCAATCATAAATAAAGAGTAGTAGTTTTAAGAAAGAGTTCTCTCTAAAAGAGTTATAAAACTCTCTCTAAATATAAAGCTTGAGTAGCAAATCTCTTTTCTAAATACGGAGGCTAACTTTTATAGTAGCAGTCCAATTTCCAACTTATCCGCTACAAGAAACGTTATCCCGCTAATATACCCAACAAGAAGAAGCTTTCATTCATCTCTTTTCGATCGCCACCAAAGGTTTGACGTATTCAGGTTTTGCGAGTTTCTCGTCTCCTTTTACTCGTGTCTTAGGTTCGTGAATTTTCGCTTCCTAGAGGATTTTTCTCGACTCGTGATTGATTTGTTTGTTTGGAGTTGAGTTTCTGCAGATGATTTGGTTGTGGTGATTCACTAGTTTTGATATAGACACAGATTATTATGGTAGATAGTTTTGATTATGTGGAACCTTCTTATTCCAATCTGGTCACATGCGACGGCTCTGACTCAACTCAAACCTCACTTGTGCTATATTATATAGTTTTCTTGGACGAGGAAAAAAATGGACATGTTTGTGATATTAATAACTAGATATAGCTTTCTAGTGTAGTTTAGTTTTGAGTCTATTAATCAAGAAGTGACAACGCGACTGATTAGTTAGTTATGTGAAATGATATATATGTGATGTGGCTTCTTAGATCTTAATGACTTATGATGGATTGTAATAGCTGCAGGACCTATACAATGGTGTTCTTCTCTCAAGCAGGAGGATCATACACTCTTCCTTCTCGATCTGTTTGCTCCAAGACGGGAACTAAATCAGTTTCTGGTGGTGGTGGCGTCAGAAATTTGAGGATGAAAGAAGCTTATGTTAGCTCCTGCTCGCTCCTCAAAACAAGTCATTATGTTAAGAGGATCAAGAGAGGGCATCAGTTAATTGTTGCGGCAAGCCCTCCGACAGAAGAGACTACTGTAGTTGAGACTGAGCCGCTGACGAGAGAGGATCTCATTGCCTATCTTGCCTCTGGCTGCAAATCAAAAGATAAATGGAGGTACCTTTGTTTGATTATAACTATCGTTGGTAACATATATATTTTTGTGTTGTTGATCTACTGCTACCTTGTTGAGCTCATCCAGATTGTTTGATATATATTCCATTTTCGCGAATTTGGCATTCTGAGTTTGCAGAATAGGTACAGAACATGAGAAATTTGGTTTTGAGGTCAATTCTCTGCGACCTATGAAGTATGATCAAATAGCTGAGCTGCTTAACAGTATCGCTGAAAGATTTGAATGGGAAAAAGTCATGGAAGGTGACAAGATTATTGGTCGACAAGATTATTGGTCTCAAGCAGGTAAAATATTCTACTTTGTGTTTCATCTTTTGAGCTGCTCTTTTAAAGATACATTTCTAGCCTCTTAGCTTGATAATTCAGTTTTGTTGATCAGGGGAAACAAAGCATTTCGCTTGAACCTGGTGGTCAGTTCGAGCTTAGTGGTGCTCCCCTTGAGACGCTGCACCAAACGTGTGCTGAAGTCAATTCACATCTTTATCAGGTAACTTGAGAGATAGTACTCCTATTCTTAAACAACAACTAACTCTCTCTATTGACGTTAACAGGTAAAAGCTGTCGCTGAGGAATTGGGGATTGGTTTCTTGGGAATCGGTTTCCAACCTAAATGGCGTAGGGAGGATATACCCATCATGCCAAAGGTATGAGGCTTTGTCTATTCTTAAGATTGTAAAACGTTCTATTACTGGGTCTGATCATGTTTTTAGCTATGATGGGGTTTGGCAGTAAGATCTGACATAGTATGTTCTGTTCAGGGGAGGTACGACATTATGAGAAACTACATGCCAAAACTTATCTTGAAACTTATAGAAACGGCGTGCATTCTTGACAGGCTAATCTGGATTTTAGCTCAGAAGCTGATATGATCAGGAAGTTTCGTGCTAGTCTTGCTTTGCAACCTGTGAGAAGCTTGAGTTCTTTTGTGGCATAACCAGAAATCTACGATTATGGCCAAGTCTAACCATTGTCTCATTTTATCTAATTCAACAGATAGCAACGACTCTATTTGCGAATTCTCCTTTTACCAAAGGGAAGCCAAACAGGTTTCTCAGTATGAGAAGGTTTCTAGATCTTATTGTTATTTGGCTTAGTTATTGCTTCCTTGACACGTTATAATTCTAGTACGTTTCTACAGCCACATATGGACAGACACTGACAAGGACCGCACAGGAATGCTACCGTTTGTTTTCGATGACTCTTTTGGGTGAGTATGAAATTGTTTTATATGTGGTAATATATAATGATGCTTCGGATCTATTTTAATTGTACTACTCTGTCTTTTTTTAAAAAAAATCTGGTATAGGTTTGAGCAGTACGTTGACTATGCACTCGATGTCCCCATGTACTTTGCCTATAGAAACAAGAAATCACCAATCTGCTATAGGTTTGAGCAGTTCCTTAATCTTTTCTGTAACCCTTTGTGAGCCATTTTACAAATTAACCATTTTCATCATGCTGCAGCAATTTTTGGCTGGAAAGCTTCCTTGTCTCCCTGGTGAACTAGCAACATATAATGATTGGGAGAATCATCTGACTACAATATTCCCTGAGGTTTATCATCTCCATTAATTTAGCCAATGACTTTCAGTTCCCTGTCTTGTGTTAAAGACTGACGCCGTTCCAAAACATGAACAGGTTCGGTTAAAGAGATACTTGGAGATGAGAGGTGCTGATGGAGGTCCATGGAGGAGATTGTGCGCCCTTCCAGCTTTCTGGGTACATCTATTAGCTTATAATGAACTTTTCCTCCATGGACTTTATCATTTCAAGATGTACCAGCTATTGTTTTGATACTTTCTGCACACTTCAGGTGGGTCTGTTATATGATGAGGACATTCTCCAAGCTATTTTGGATCTGACAGCTGACTGGACTCCAGCAGAAAGAGAGATGCTAAGGAACAAAGTAATACCTTGAGAAGCCACATTTAGACTCTCCTCTTCTACAGTTTGAAAACATCGCCGTTTAACTGAGTACTTGATTTGCAACAGCCAACAGGTACCAGTAACTGGTTTGAAGACACCGTTTAGAGATGGGTTGTTGAAGCATGTCGCTGAAGACGTTCTGAAACTCGCAAAGGTGTGTACATATAATTGTTTCTTTGTATCTTGTTTCGCCTAGTACCTAACTATAAAGATATATATTGGCTTATTTTCTCTCAGGATGGTTTAGAGCGTAGAGGCTACAAGGAAGCAGGTTTCTTGAACGCTGTTGCTGAAGTAGTCAGAACAGGTAACTAACGTCTCCCAATGTATGATCCACACTTTCTATAAACTTGGTGGTGAAACTTTGCTATTGAAAATGATATAGGAGTTACACCGGCGGAGAATCTGTTGGAAATGTACAATGGAGAATGGGGAAAAAGCGTAGATCCTGTGTTTCAGGAACTTCTATACTAAGAATGAGACGAGAACAAAAGGGTTCCCAACCCTTAAGGTGTGAGGTTATTCTATCTGAAGCACTCAAGACTCGAGAATAAGGTTTCTTTTTTAATGGAATGTTGTATAATCGGATTTGAAAACTGATGTTGTTTATTTAGAGATTCGAAGCTTGTATAAAATGCCACCCATTTATCTTTGTTACTGTGGGAACCGAAATTCACACTTGTCGATTTCCGTTAAATAAGGAAACTTAGGAAAACCCTAATTTTCCAGAGGAACCGGATCTCTGCGAAAGCCAACGACAAGTAACCAAATAAATGCGGAAAATACGAAAAACGTAATAAAACGAATTTGAAGAAAAAGTAGATCTTATTTCGATTTCGCGTAAAAGCGCTGTGATTGTTACAAGGGTTTACAAAGGCATTGGCCGCAAGGCCGTCAGCGAGTTATCAACATAAAAACCTTAAATCTAATCGAGTCGCAGCTCGATAACGAAAGACGGAAAAAGATAAAGAAAAAGGATTTAAATGATTTCGGACTGAACCTTATGAAAGGCTGCCTACGTACCCCTTTCGGGGATCAAGTCGAACGTAGTTCAGTTGATAGAGCTGGACCAGAGATCGAACTGCCTGGGCGAGTTCGTCTAGTAATTGAGCGCCAGTCATAGAAACTGAACTTGTCGAGAAAAAGCCTAAGTTTCTAAGTGCGGAAAATTCTAAGTGTAGAAAAGTTGTGAAAGTCTCAGATGAGAGCTCTGGATCTCGTTCTCCTCTTCTGCCCTACGCCTCTGGTTTATATACTCCTTGCCTTGACGGTTCGATCTTTCCATTTTGCCGGATTTGAGTATTTCGGGAATCTTCCATTTTTCTCGATCCTTCCATTTCTTCCGCGGAAATCTTCTATTTATCTTCAAACTTGCCTTTATTTTATTTCTGCGAGTAAACCGTCAAAACGTTATCAAATCTGCGGGTTAGATTCCGTTGAAATCGCGAGCTGGGTTTTTATTGCGTTTTAGGTCCTTCCGGGCCGTTTTGCAATAAATCCGTTTTCCGATTTTTACGGGATCATTTCCTGATCTGACGTCGTTTTTAATAAATTACTCGAGTTAATCGCAAGGTTTTACGATTTACTCGACTTTTATTAAAAACACGTTTTTTACGACTTACTCGGCGTTTTTTTATTAAAAATGCGTTTTTATGATTTTAACGAGAAATCTCGAATAAATCGTATAGTTTAGGCAATGTTCGGTGTTTCGTTTAACCGTTGCCGTTTTATACGATTTTCCTCGAGTTCTTTCTGAGAAAGCAAAGTTTTACGGTTTTTATCGTAAAACTCGAACGTTAAGTCGGATCGAGATGGAACGGGAGATGTTTCGGCCGTAGTTTAGAACATGACCTTGTCGAAAGACGTAAGTTTCGAATCGGGAATGCGGGAGATCGAGGCGCGGGATATCCGAGAAGTTTTTAGTTCGCCCATCGGCGAACTAGTTGGGTGTCTCTTAGTTCGCCCATCGTTGAACTAAGCCGGGGCCGGCTTAGTTCGCCGATGGGCGAAGTAGTTGAGTGACTCCTAGTTCGCCCATCGGCGAACTAAGCCGGGCCGGCTTAGTTCGCCCGGCCGGCTTAGTTCGCCCAAGGGCGAACTAGTCGTGACTAGTGCGCGTTTTACGGCTGTTTCAGTTTTTTGCGGTTTCGTAAAACGATTCTTCGAGTTTTATAAAACGTTTCTTTGAGTTTTATAAAATGATTCTCGAGTTTTATAAAACGATTCTTCGAGTTTTATAAAACGTTTCTTTGAGTTTTATAAAATGATTCTCGAGTTTTATAAAACGATTCTTCGAGTTTTATAAAACGATTCTCGAGTTTTATAAAACGATTCTTCGAGTTTTATAAAATGATTCTCGAGTTATATAAAACGATTCTTCAAGTTTTATAAAACGATTCTCGAGTTTTATAAAACGATTTCTCGAGTTTTATAAAATGATTCTCGAGTTTTATAAAACGATTCTCGAGTTTTATAAAACGATTCTTCGAGTTTTATAAAACGTTTCTTCGAGTTTTATAAAACGATTATTGAGTTTTATAAAACGATTTCTCGAGTTTTATAAAACGATTCTTCGAGTTTTATAAAACGGTTCTCGAGTCTTATAAAACGTTTCTCGAGTTTTATAAAACGATTTCTCGAGTTTTATAAGACGATTCTTCGAGTTTTTATAAAACGATTCTCGAGTTTTATAAAACGTTTCTCGAGTTTTATAAAACGATCTCTGAGTTTTATAAAATTACTTTTGCGGAAAGTAATGATCCCAGAAGTTTTCGTAGACGTTGATTTCGAGATTACGTTTTTTGACACCAACAAAAACGATTCTCGAGTTTTATAAAACGATTTCTCGAGTTTTATAAAACGATCTTTCGAGTTTTATAAAACGTATTTTTATTTTTACTTTTGCGGATACTTTTAGCCATTGATTCCGTCGTGACCGATTTTGACACCAACAGTTACCAGTTTGTCAACTTTAATACGATATACTAGGTACTAATCCACACCTGCACGGGGTAAGGAGATTTAAAAAGATTTTTAATGGAAAATACTGTAAAATTAAACTTGCGATTAAATTTCACATTTAACTAACAAATCAGGCCTGTTTTTTTTTTTTGTTTTTTTTAAAAAAATTGTTAATGTATTAGTTTATTTGTGATATAGGCGATGGAAGAGAGTCAAAAAGAGCCATAAGAATAAGTAAAATCTAATATAAAATAAAGTATGAATTAAAAATAGATTAACAAAAATACCATGATATAGTAGGGGTTTGAATGTAGTGATTTAGTAATTTTGAGAAGGAAACAATTGTGAGTACATGTTGCTATAATGTTTCCTATTTATATATGCAATGCTCTTAAGTTTTGAGTCATCTCCACGTAACTAAATGTGCAATTATATATATATTTCGAATTCTTTATTGGAATTTTAGTTAACGTAATTGCCTTGTTTAACCTATACAAACATGTTCTCCTCTTTGTAAATGTACAAACGCGACATCAAGCATTATCAATAATGGAAAATGTCAATCAGAATTTTGGTGATTGACATTAAAAACGGAAACACCCAAATTACGTAGATTTTATTCAGCTTAAACCGATCAGTCTTAATGAGATCGAGATTGACTCCTCAAATTGAAAATCATCTATAAATGGTGACAGAGAGAATATTTGATGTAAATTATATAAATTAATCAATTTTGAAGCCATTTTTGTAAGTTATTTATTATTTTGCTTATCTTTTTTTTTTTTATAAATATGGATTTGAAAATTGTTTTTATACATTATATAGTTTCATATCGCATTGACGTTAACATAGATTATATTATTTGTATCTCAGCTAAAAAAACATTTTTTCTTTTCATATAATATTGAAAACCCCATCATAATAATATAAATATTATGTTTCAAGGTTTGATTTTTAGTGCATACACATGTTTTAACCGTTTGATACAAACAATCTTCATTGTCTCCAGAAAATATTATTAATTGGTTTGATATTTCAAATTATTTTGTTTAATTTATGCCTAATTTGTAGAATCTACATAAACCAGAAAGATATCAATTTTCCAGTTCAAATCGATATTAACTAGAGAGATAAATTAAAAATCTAACTTCCTATCCGCTTAATATTATTCAAAGTTTTTCGTAGGTGAAATCTTGTAGTGATGTCATTGTTGGTGTATTGTCTTGTTCAATAAATATGAAACAAAGAATCAAATGTTTAATTCATACATATATATTGTGACAACCGTAGAAACATATTTCACATTTATATTGTGAAAACGTAGAAACATAATTACTTTTTACGTATAGTACTAAATGCGGAATCCATAAATATATAAGGTAATTTCTATAGCATTTAATGCACACACATGTAAAATAGATGCACACACGATTATATACATATTTATGTTAGGTTATATAGACTAATGACCAACGGCAAATGTTGTAATTATGCTAGTTAACTAAGGGTTTTAACATATAGGTGGTGGGAGTGCTTATGGAGCTGCCACGTGTAAATGACACTCATGTAAATCACACAATCACACAAAGGTTATTTATTTAAAATGCTCCTCAAATAATAAGAAAAAGAAGGGATTTGTGATTCAAGGCATGGAATCAAGGCCACGGATGGCGATAAACTATTGTCTATCTCGAATAAACTATACGTTAAAGATACGAAAATAAATGTAACAAAATCCCAAATTTTGGCAAAAAGAAGTGACGATCGAATATGGTAGTTGGTTGCAGCAAGAGGCAGATCTACATGCACATGAGTGGGGTCAGCTGACCCCAATAGAATATTAAAAATTAGACTTGTAAGCTTAGTTTAGGAAAGAGCGAAGTGTTCTTATGATGTACGATCTATTGCATTGACCTCCTTTAATCGAGTTCGATTCCTCAACTTGCACCCACATTAGATCTTAAAAAAAAAAGAATTAGGTAGATTATGTTGGGCCTAAAACTGAATTAAAGTGAATATGGGTATTGATCAAAAGAATTGATCCAAAAAAAAAGTGAACATGGGTCAAAACCAGTTTTTCAATTGTTTTTCAAACTTCACACATTGTCCGCTTTCAATTAGATAGTTTAATATGTTTCTTTTTCTTCTTTCTTAGATAGTTAAATATTGTCTTTCTTTTGTTTTAGTAAAAATATTTGATTTTATGTTTAGTTTTTTTAAACGTATTTGTTTTCAGTTGTTTTACCACACTTAAAACTCTATATAACAGTAATTTCTTTAAAGATCTTATAGCATCATATCTTTTTTGTTTTGTTTTATTGAATATAATTTTTCTTTAAAAAGTAAAAAAGAAATTTTGTATCTCTAATAGTTTCTATAATAAATATTTAGAATAATTTTTAATTAAATTAAATTATTTGAAATTAAATTTATTTTAAATTAAATTAATTTTAATAAAATTAATTAATATTATTTAATTATGACCCTGGTAAAATTATTTCCTGACTCCGCCACTGGTTGCAGCGTTACAATGTAGAAGCTGTTTAAAGAGACTGGAAGTTACATTATTGGATTTACGATGTAACTAGTAGTCAATCCGCCTACGCGCGGAATGTATTCTTTTATGTTTTATATTAAAAATCTATTTTATCAAATGTGGTCGTTAAAATGCGAATCTGTAAAATTTGGTTTATAATTAACGTTGTAGTTTGTTTACTTGTGGCAAGCTTAAGTCACTGAATAAAACGGTTAAGAATAAAAATCATCTTTTTAATTATATTTGATATTTTGTATTTGTGATGTATTATTTAATTAAGTGTAGCTATTTAGTGGCAAATAATTTAAACCGTGTGGCTTAAAAGGTAGTCTTGTAGGCATTGTTGTTTTGATTTTTGTCAAATATTGTGATGATCGCAAGAAGTTATGGATTGGTTAATCCAGTGAATGATATCTCCTAGGATTTTTAAGGAGATTTTTGATGTTAGAGAGCTCAGTTACATTTACTTTGAAATATAGATTTTCGAAGAAGTTGTTGGATTGTAGTGGAGGTCGCTAACTTTTTATATCCGTGTGAATGACACAAAACGTTTATGTTGAGATGTGTGAGTTAATGAAAAGATTTATTGACAGTTGTAATTTAGTGGTAACATAGTATGCTAGCTTAAGTGGATTTTAGTTAATGCTTCAAACATTTACTACAAAAAATTGAGCAAGTTTACTCGTAATTGTTAAATTTGAAACTTGCACATATTGTTGTATGTGTTTATTTTTGATGGCTTGGAGAAAGTCAAACATATTATTGTCGTAGATCTCTAATTTGTATGATTGGTTTTTATTTATATATTATAAATATATTAACATAATCAATTTTATTAATTATGTTTTATTTTTAAAAATATGACGGTTTTTTTAGTTTATGATGTAACTTTGTATACTTTCAATTTCTCCACACATGTAAATCTGAAAAGATTATTAATAACATTATATATCTATTTTTTTAATTTACATATTTAAATATCAATATTATTAAAATTACCTATTTAAATGAGGTTATATATATGAAGATGATATGCTATTTATTATTGAGTTATCTATCTTCCGTAATTTAAAAATATTAAAAATATAAATATATCAGTATAGCTAAATTAATTATTTTTTATTGAACAAAGACTGATTTGTTAATTTTTTATTTAATAAAATTAAATTTGTTATTTAATAATAAATTAAATAAAAAAGGGATTTTTAACACAAACTAATTTGTTAATTTTGTCATTTAATAGCAAATTAATTTTGTTATTTAATAAAAATTTGTATGTAAAACATTATTTATGATTATAAAAACTATAACTGATTTGTGCTAAAGACATAATTTATTACAAAGATACAAACAACCGACGATTCAAGAAAATGATCTCGAGAAGAAGCTCACTTTCGGCAGATAGATACATCGCTGCAGTGAACATGAGAAATCCATAAACCAAATTAAGAACACTTTATCAAGTGCCACGAACCCGTAAGTATGTTCACAGGTTTCCTCTTTATCTTCAACCGAGACCAGCGTCTTGATAACAGATCCATAGCCGAAACTTCCATCGTTGATTTCATTTGAGATAAAATCGGTAAAAGATGAACGTACGGTGACGAATTGAGCGTTAACTGATAAAGGAAAGAAGGGAACTAAGAAAAATCGTTGAGGATCAAAGAAGACAATGAAGATGAACCTTAGATATCGAAGTTTTCATCCATCATGAAAAAAATGTTGAAGGTGAGAAAGCTACTTTTGTTTAGTTTTATTGGAGCTAGTAATAATATTTATTAAAACCCATATTATTTGTAAGAGCCAAAAAAATCCAAATTAACAAAATCTTATAATTTAGCCTAAAAAATATTTAACAAATGAAAAGATGACAAGTGTCATTGTTTACCCTTATGGAGAAAAAAAACTCTATTTTATTTATAAAGATTTATTAAATCCCATATCATTTGTAAAAACCAAAAAAAATCTAAATTAAAAAAAAATCTTAATTTAGCCTAAAAAATATTTAACAAATGAAAAGAGTGTCATTGTTTGTCCCTATAGAAAAAAGAACTCTATTTTGTTTATAAAGATTTATTTCCTATAAAAATACAATTAAATTAGTAAGACGATGACGAGATTTTGTGGCTTACATGCAGATTTTGTCCAATCAGCATTACCCTTACCACCACGTGTGCACGTCTTACGAATTAACTGAATTTTTGTAAGAAACAGACTGCATCATAAATCCAATAATGTAACTTTCAGTTATAGATCTCTCTTAACAGCTTCTACAATGCAACGGTGCACCCAACTACCATATTCAGGACGGAGGCGAGATCAAGGTGCTAGCTTCAGGACCTACAAAAGAGAGACCAAATCAATCAAATAGTCAATCCAGCACTGGGACAACCACATATCAAGCGAGTCTCCATCATCGACCAGAGGAACCAAATGAAAACAATGATGCATCGGGCGACTTCTCTGCCCCGGCGCTCGGTTTACTGCGTTTTGCCAGGTAACGCCGATCGATGGAGAGTGTATCCAAAATCTGTGTATGCATGTGATTCATAATATAGATTAATATTGTACTGTAAATGTATGCTTACCATTATTTTGTAATTATTAGACATCTGAAAACATTTTCCCCATACTGAACACCTCATGCCAAATCGATAATGTGTGTAGTCTCAAGGATAGGGATCAATAATTTGGATTTATTTCCAGCTAATAAAGAAAATTATACTATATGGTCCTCATGTCACGTCGCGACGACTTAGTTGTTGTATCTTCTTTTCTTCCTTTTGACATCAGTTGTATCTTCTTAACATTGACAAAAAGTGTAAACTAGTTTAACTTCTCGTAGGTGTACATGTATATAACAAAAAACCAACATTTTCATTAGTGTGTAACATAACAAATGACACAATCTCAATCTCCTAAAATAAAATAGCTAACCTCTGACAAGAATAAACCCAAATTCAAAAGATTAAAGAAATAAGAAAAAAAATTCAAATTAACTTGATTATTAATTAACACAACCACATATAAAAGCTTCTTTTTCTAATAAACCCTCTTATATAGTAGTACCAAATATATAGTATACACTAATATCTATGCTAATATGCAGACGCTCTCTATATCATAGTCACATCCTCACTCTCATCACTCGTGACTTCACATGATCAGTTTCTCCAATGGCCTCATTGATCAGTTCCTCGGATCATCGCCTTCCGGTTAGCAAGAAACGATTAAAGCCGTTGATTCTGAGAGATTACCTTCTTGATGATCTTAGCTCTTGCTCATCCAACGGCTTCAAATCATTCCCTCGTCACCAAACTACAACCGCCGATATCAAACGCCGTTTTACGTGCGGATTGGCGTTTAGTCACGCCGTTCAGAAAGCTTCCATGGCGTTACTCAGCGCCGTTAAACTCTTGCCGTCCCCTTCCCCCTCCGTTAAACCTCCGTCTTCGTTAAAGAAAAGGCTGTTCTCGATAAGCTTCTCTAGAAACCTCTGGAAGAAACTTAATAACGTCGACGGAGAGATGGAGGATCGTAAACAAGAGATCCAACGGTGCAGATCGTTCGGTGATTTTCTCAAAGAGAGTCTTGATGATCAACCGTCTGATGAAGATACATTGTCAAAAGCCGCCGGTGGTGGTGAGTCGGCTAGTTTCGGTAGCGAGTTATTCACAAACTCGGAGTTGACTCAGTCATTATCTGAGACGTCGAGCAAAAACGGCGCCGTGGAAGATGTAACGGAGGAGACAAGATACGGAGTAGTAGTAATGATGAGTGGGGATTGTGTAGGGTCACATGTCAGTGAAGGATCGTCGTCTGTCAACGACAACCGAGAGGTTAGTTGGTTTTAACAAACTTTCAAAATATTTTTATTTTATTTTTATTTTGGATATCTGTTTTGCTTGTCCAATTATCATCCGCCATGTCACCAACTATTTACAACAGAAGTCATTTGAGTTAGCATGTATGTACGTAATACAGCTTAATTTTTTTTTGTCACAAATTAAATATCGTTTTAAAGTTTTGAGACAAAATTTCTTATTTTTATATAATATTTTATTTTTTCTGTGGGTTAAAAAGTGGTTAGGTGTATAGGTAATTGTGTTTTTATTTTGAAAATATGTAAACTTAAATGTTTCATTAATCTGTGTGCAAAAATGTAAAATGACAAATTAAGTGAAAAGAGATATATTTGTCATTCTAAGCTTAATTTTTTGTTACAAATTAAGTATCGTTTTAAAGTTTCAAGGCAAAATTTATTAATTTTTTAGAATATTATATTTTTCAGTTGGTTGAATAATGATTAGATATATATGTAATTGTGTTTTTATCTTGAAAATATGTAAAATTAAATGTTTTTTTAATCTTTGTATAAAAATGTAGAATGACAAATAAAGTGAAACGAAGAGAGTATATGTTTTGTGAGTTTTGAGTAAAGTTAGGTTTTGTACTGAAGCTCTGATCTCTCTCCTTAAAGGAGAAGAGGAAGAGAAGCACATCTTGGGACTACGGGTTGCACGGGCCAGCCCTCGGGTATCACACCTTCTCTTTGCGGATGATAGCCTCTTTTTTTGTAAAGCAGAAGTACGACAATGCGAGAAAAGTTTAGAGATCTTGGAATCGTATGGGAAGGCCTCCGGACAACAACTTAATGCGGCTAAGTCCTCCATAATTTTTGGAAATAAGATCGACAACATCGTTAAACAAAATATAAAAGGCGTTCTTGGGATTACTACTGAAAGAGGGATGGGTAAATATCTCAGACTACCAGAACAAATTTGTGGTTCGAAGATTAAAGTGTTCTCTTATGTACAAGATCGTCTCAATGGATGTGTCACCTCGTGGTCGGCTAGATTACTCTCCAAAGGAGGTAAAGAGGTTCAAATCAAATCTGTGGCGCAAGCTGTGCCGACATACATTGTGGACAAACTAGAAAGTTCAATCTCAAATTTTTGGTGGAGCTCGAGTCAAAACAACCGCGGCTTACATTGGATTGCTTGGGACAAAATATGTGTCCCACATGATCAGGGTGGCTTGGTTTCTTAGACTTACACGATTTCAATATTGCCTTATTAGCAAAACAACTTTGGAGATTGATTCAGTTCCCAAACTCCCTCCTCGCGCGAGTTTTGTGAGGACGATACTTTAATCGAGCACACCCTTTAGACGACCATAGAGTATACTCACCTTCTTATGGTTGGCATAGTATTATGGCAGCAAAATCGCTCTTAAAGTCGAACCTTCGTAAGACCATTAGAGCTGGTCAAAACACATGTGTTTGGACAGAGCCTTGGATCCCAGATACCGATGCGTGCCCTCCGAGACAGTCTGATCGTGTAACATATAGATACCCAAAACTCCTTGTTCACTCTTTTATTAGGCGTGATACAAGGGATTGGGATACTAATCTTCTACTAGAATACTTCCATCCCGAGGATATTCCGCTAATACTTAAGCTACGACCAAGCAATACGTGGTCTATGGATGGGTATGCATGGAACTATACCAAGTCAGGTGTTTACTCGGTAAATTCATGATATAGCCAATTACAAAAGACTAAAGTGTGTGATACTGAAGTTCAGATTTTACAACCAAGTATCACTGGTTTACAGAGCCATGTGTGGAGTATCCCTGCTCATGGAAAGATGAGACACTTTATGTGGCAAGCTTTGACAGGATGCATTGCGACGACCGAGAGACTCGCCTATAGACACCTGAGCAGTGATAGGAGCTGTCCTAGATGCGGTGACCCTGAGGAAACCATTAACCATCTTCTTTTTAATTGTCCCCCTGCCCTCCAGGTGTAGGATTTATCGGACTATCTGTCCCATCCGGGTTACTTCCCAAGTACCTCTGTTTATCAAAACATGGACTTTCTTTTTCGGAAGAAGGAAAACGTGGTCTATATGGAACCACTTATTGAAACATTCCCATGGATCCTATGGTACATATCGAAGGCACGCAATGATAAATTTTTCAATGGAAAAGACATATCACCGGTCGACACCCTTCAGCTGGCTACCATAGAAGCTGAGTGCTGGAGAAAAGCTAACTTTCTCGAGGAAGATGAGGAAGAGGAGAAACAATCTGGCTCGGCCTTTTGCCCGACTCTCCATGTGGACCCCCAACGCCCGATCTGTCAAATCGATGTGTCATGGATCGATAATGGAACGGCCAGTGGCCTAGGGTGGTTTTATAAGGATCAAATGGGAGTCAAAAAATTTGGACTACAAGGATGCCGAAAAAGAAAATCAGCCCTTCATGCGGAGATGGAAGGACTCATATGGGCGATGTCTTGTTTAAGAGATTTTCAGTGTGCCACGATTTCTATGGAGACTAATTGTTGCGACCTGGTAGACATGATTGGTAATCCTACTGACTGGCCGGTCTTTGCCTCCAAGCTAATCTCTTTCCGACTTCTACAAACAAGGTTCTTAGAGTTCAGCATCATCCATATTCTGAAGTCTAGGAATTTGCGTGCAGATTCTCTCGCCAAAGAGGCAAGAAATAGTAGTATTCTCTTTTCCCATATAGATCAGATCCAACCGGACATAGCATTTCTACGGAACGGCTCAAGTCTGTCTACCACTTGATCTTACAAAATGGGCGTCGACAAAAAAAAGTAAAGTTAGGTTTTTGGAAGTTGTCGGTTCGTGCGTGCGAGTCAACATGAGGCAATTATATCTGTAAATATTAGTGATGAAATCGAGGGCTGTGATTCTTCTTGGCGGATTCTACGGACGATATCACTCACTTACCAAGACTGATTTAGTAAATTTGTATTTGTAACATAACCAGTCGCACTAGGTAACAATGTAAAAGGTTAAAAACACAAAGGTTTTGGAATTACCGAGTTAGTACAATACTCATGGGAAGGTGTGGAGAGATGCATGTAACATGTTCTTGTCATGAAGTGGGTTGACTTTGCCAGCCCACTTTACTTCTTATTACTCGTGCACGATTGACTATATAGTTTATCTCTCGTTTAACATACTAGAAGATTTGAATCCCCTATTCAATAGTAATAAATTAATTGAATTATTTTAAATTGTAGGAATGCGTGAACGAAGAGAAAGAGCACCTCAGTCCAATATCGATCTTGGAATACCCATTCGAAGATGATGCAATCACTCTTCCTAATTCGCACCAAAAAGGTAAAATTTCACTCTTTCTTCTTTAGTATTTGATGATGTATAAGGTCGCTGCCCGATTATGTTTATAAGTTAAATGATTGTATAATAAAAGAACAAAAGATATCACGTTGTTTTTATTTATTTAAAATTATAAACACACGTGCTAAACATAAATAAAATAAGAAACATTTATTTATAATTGTTATTTTAAAAATTGATTTTCAATTTGAAACAAGGTAAAGTATTATTTTAGATAAAGATTTCATAAATGTATCCCAAACGCAGAGGGTTGCATTTGAAACAGTTAGTTTCATCGTATGCATGAACTAATCTTATATAAATTGATACAGAAACCGAGGAGAAGAATCTCATGAGAAAAATAAGAAGATTTGAGAGTGTCGTACGACTTGAACCTGTGGATTTAATGAAACGCATAGAGGAATATATAAAGATACAAGACTGCAACTCTCACATGGTAGAAACCGAAGAAGATCAATCGGAAAACCGAGCAAGCCGCTTGTTTGCTCTAGTGAAGTCTAGACTAATTGAGGAACCTAGCCATTTGCTTGAATCTCGGAAAGTAGACAGTCTCTTGCTAGATTTTTTTAAAGACGAAGGGCACAATGAGACAGGAGACGATGATAAGTTGGTGAAGATAGTTGAAGAATGGTTGTTGAAGAGACAAGACGACGAATGTATGTTTATGAGTTGGGAAGTAAGAGAGAAGAGAGAGATTTATGTAAAGGAAATGACATGGGGCTGTATCAATGGTGAAGAGAGGGATTATGTGGTTGAAGAGTTGGGGAATAGTTTCGTCACTGATTTGATTGATGAACTTATGCTTGATATATCATTATGAGGTGAGGTCCATCCATGAGGACAATATTTTGGTCACATGCTCGTTATCGTTCATCACATTAATTCTATATGGATTATTGTTAACATTTATGGCATAGTATAGTTATGCTATCATAATAAATGGCCCACGTTCGTATGTGTGGTTTATAGTATTACTGTAGTCCGCATACCATCATCCTAAGTACAGATGTATTTGGGCTTTTAGCGGCATTGTTTTTGGCTGATGATAAGATCCGAGTTGAAGTGCTTTTAGTTGGTAAAATAGAGCTTATGGCGCGTTATAATACTTCTTCTCTGTTGGATATGTTTATAGTTGTGGTCAAGGAGATCTAAGTTCAGATTCAGGTAATTCGAGTGCACGTACCACTAGTTACAATATATTTGTTAGCTAGGAACTTGGCGCAACATACTCATATGTAGTATTTGAAAATGATTAACTATTGATAGCGGAAATTTTTTAACGTGCGATTATGTGTCATTGATGGCTAATTTGGACTCTCTTGATTCTTTAAGGCGGTTTCACCCTATTTGTCAAGTTAATTTTGTTTGTATTTTAGGTTTGTGTGTAAAAGTTTAATTTTACTCATATTGTTAATCGCTATAACGACAAAGAACTGATATAATGTTATGATTGTTGTTGTTGATTCGGTGAGGAGACGTTAATGATTTTCCATTGGTAATTAGCTTAAAATACAAATACATTTGTTAAGAACAAATCTTATATAGTAATTGTGGTATTTCTTTGTTTGAGCCAATAAAAGTTTAGTATTTGTTGGGCCGAACTGCGGATGTCGTATGTGCATGCTATCAAGGTTGACATTTAAGGGTGTTGGCCCGCATGTCTCCTTGTTATGGTATGTCTTTTCAGTTTAAATTTTTTTTTTTTTTTTAAATAAGTATGTATTCCTTTGGAGAAAAAGAAATCAGAGTTTTGAGATTACTGTATATATGAGTTTAAGGAATCCTAAAGTTATTCATTCACATAATAATATACAAACTCTAAACATGTATTTGCCTCAATAGGTTTTTGCTCTCTATTGTTTTCTTGAGTTGATTCACATTTGTTCACAACAGGTTTGTTGTTCTTATTGTAATACTTGTTTTAGTTTGCACATGAGAAATTGTTGGTTATTTAGGTTGTAATCCGAAAAGGTGTGAATTATAAACTTAGATAATGATTGAATCGCTTATGAGATTATTTTCTTTAAAACGCATTTTGACCATATTCTAATCTTTGGATTACACAAAAATATAATCAAAGTCTCATTTTTATTCTATACTAAGACACAAAGAAACAAAAAGAGTTTTAGTATTTATGTGTTTCTTCAAAAATCTTTGATGATTTGTGAACAGTGAATCTCTCTATCTTTACATATATCATTGTCCTAAATTAGATGACTTGCCCATGAGCCTCGGTGCAGCAGCAAAGGTGTGTGGTGTAGTGATTGGTGCTATGGCTGTGGTTCAGCTTTTTCTCTTCGGTTTACTTCAGCGCATGGTCTAATAAATCCTACTTCAAACCGCTTATATTCAGTAGCATTGTCCTCTTCATTGGGAACTTGTATGTGTTGGCTTTTGACTTGAACTCAGTAGCTGTGTTCTTGATAGGCCGGCTGTTCTGTGGGAAAGTAAGACTCTTTAAGACGACCAAATTGGTTCTGAGTACAAGCAAGTGAAAAATTAACATGTGACTCCTAATTTTTTATAGAAAGGTTACATAACCACAGGACTCCAAAATTGGTAAAGAAAAATTATCACAATATTTACTAAATTGTTTATACCCCCAAAGAGGACCTGTCCTACTTCTAAAATGTTTTTGACATTTGATTCTTACCGTTTCGTTGTATCTTTCAGATTGGGATCAGCAAGGGCAGTGGACATGAGATATATAAGTGACTGTGTACCATTAAAAATCAAGATGCAGGTTTCAGCAGATTTTGTTAGTGCAAGTGCTTTGGGGATGGTGTGTGGTCCTGCACTTGCTGGTTTGTTGCTGACCAGACTCAAGATCTATAAGCTTATGTCTAACCAAGATATCTTGCCTGGTTGGTTATGGTAATTGCTTGGCTTATGTACTTAGTCTGGCTAGATGTTTCATTGGTTGAACCTGCACTTGAGCCGGAGGAAATTCATAATAATATTTCAAAGTATTCTAATAACTCTGGTACTGTTCAAGATATCAAGAAAGGTTAAAAAAACTGAAAATTGTTTTTTTTTTTGATAAACATGTTAAAATTTCATACCTTTTTTGAGTTTACAGTGTTGAAAGCAACTTATTAGCAGAAACAAAAATACAAAAAAACCCAATATAATACAAAGAAACATAATCAAGGTGGTCGGATGCAAGAGAGGTAGAACAGCAACAGTGATGGTTGGTGGAGGTTGGTTAATGCAAGAGAGGATCCTATCACGTACCAGTCGATCAAGAGAGGACCTAATCTGCGCAGCTGGAATGGAGGTAGAAGTGAAGATTCGTGCATTTCTCTCCTTCTAAATGAGATAGACAGTGGCTTGAAAAATGATTTTCAGTAGGCATAAAGCTTGAGCATAAGAAGATCCCCATGAAAGACCCAACCAAGCAGCAGGAGAGTGAATATCCAGAGGAGGATTTGACAAGATTGATGAAGCAGTGGGGAGCCAGATGCCAGAGGAGTATTCACACTAAAAAAAAGGTGGTGGTGAGTTTCTTGAGCAGAGTTGCAAAGGACACAAATAGGAGATACGTTCATGCCCCATCGGAAGAGACGGTTTCGAGTATGAAGTCGCCGTAATAGAGCCAGCCAGGAGATGAAAGCGTTTCTAGGAATATGTTCCTTGGACCAAATGAAATATGCCACAATATGATAGGAGATAGAACTCTGAGATTCTCCCAAGTGACCCGAGAAGAGAACTTTTCAGCAAACATACCATTAGCTTGACGCCAAGGAACTGATCAGTACCAAAACTGTTGTCCGGAGGAGATATCGTTGTTAGAAAAATTTGCAGTGTTTCTGCTGTTTGACTGCAAGCAGGCGGTAGAGCCCATTGTCCATTTCTTACTGCATCACAGACCATGGCATTCTTCCTGATACGCAACTGTCTTGGACCCAAGTCTCCAAATGCAGCATTCAAAGACCCCATATCAGACCATATATCAAACCAGAAAGAGCAGTTTCTTCCATTACACAACTCACATCTCAGAAAATCAGATAACAAGGGTTTCAGTTGTAGTAAGCTCCTCACAGAGCGAGAGAAACGTACTGAATCGTCAGTCAACCAATAGCTTTTCCTTTGAGAACACATTACCATGCAGCCAAGCTACCCATAGCGAACCTGAGTTTGTGAATAAAGACCAGACTTGTTTAAGCCTGAAAACAGTTTGAAAATCCTCTAGCAAGCGTATAACCAAGCCTCCCTCAGACTTTGGTTTGCATACATCACTCCATGCTACTCTTGCGCCCCTCGCAAAACATGTTGTATTATTCCACAGGAAGGCAGCACAGAGAGAATTGACTTGGCATAAAAACTCTTTGGAAGATAAAAAACCGAGCTCCAAAAATTTACCATACTATATATAACCGAGGCTATCATCGTTACTTTTCCAGCAAAAAAAAAGATATTTTACGGTCCAAGATTGGATTTTGGAAGTTACTCAATACCGCAATTTCAATATCATTATAGCCACAAAAAACAGTTTAGAGTTTGAGGGGTTCATATCCAATCCACTGAATTCCTTGAAGATATTCATAACCGAGGCAATACTAGTATCAGAGTGTCGAGAGCCATCAGAGAAAACCAAGAGGTCATCAGCAAAAAGAAAGTGAGTAACCTGAGGCTCTGAGCACTTTGGATGTAGGCGCATGTTCCCCGAGTCCACAGCTTGATCGATCAGCTTCGAAATAACTTCCATAACCATTATGAATAAATACGGTGAGATTGAGCCTCCTTGCCTTAGGCCTTTTTCTCCCCGAAAAAACCAGCAAGTTCTCCATTAATAGACACTGAGAACCTAGGAAATGAAATACATTCATGTATCCATGTTCTGAAAAGAAGAGGAAATCCTTGTGCTTCCAAAACCTTTAGCACAAAATCCCATGAAACAGTGTCAAACGCCTTACGAATGTCGATTTTGAGCATATAACTCTTCTCCCAGCTTGATTTAGGATAGTTCCTGATCATCTCTGAAGCTAATAAGACATTTTCACCGAGGCTTCTACCTTTAAGAAAGACTGTTTGGTTCTTGCTGATGCAGCTCACCAAGATAGGTTTCATCCTCCTTGCAATTATCTTTGTTATGATTTTGTAGACAATATTGCACAAGCTGATTGGACAGTATTCCCCTAAGGTGCATGCCTCTGATGTTTTTGGTATAAGAGCAATGGTTGTGTTGTTCATGTCTTTCAACAAGCTTCCATTTCCGAAGAACTCTTTTACTGCCTCAATAACATCTGAACCAACGACGCCCCATGATGAGCGTAGAAATTCGGCTGTGTAGCCATCCGGCCCTGGGCATTTGTCTGATGGCAGAGAAAAAACAGTATTTCGTATTTCATCATCCAAAACCAGCTTTTGAAGTTCAACAATCTGAGTCTCTGAGCAACGAAAAGGGAATAAGGAGCGCAGGTGATCTGTGGAACAAGGATAAGACACCATGTGCATTGTTCCAAGTATTCCTTTAAAGAAGTCAGCCGAGTGATCTTTGATCCCATCCATTGTGTTTATCAGCCTGTTTGAGTCATCTTTAAGGAAGTGAATATGATTACGGGGGAGTCGTTGATCCACTGTCTTGTGGTAAAAGGGAGTATTCCTGTCCCCTACACCATACCATTTGATCCTTGACCTTCGATAATAAGATTTCTCTTCTGATTTAATTAAAACTTCCCATTTTGCGCGCTCTTTGTGCTTACGCGAAGCCGTTGAGGCGTCATGATTAGTCAATAATTGGTGCTGAAGAGAGACAATAAGAGCCTGTTGGCGGAGTCGTACTGATATTCCACTAAAATGCCTTTTATTGAGCTTTCTGAATGCAAGTTTCAGTAACTTTAGAGATCGCACTAGTTTAAATTGAACAGAGCCATGGATATTCTGACTCTACCAAGCCTCCCTAACCGTAGCTTCATAGAGTGGGTGATCAATAAG